CTGACCTCAGTCGTTTGTAGAGCAGGCGGCTTACGTCATCACCTTTGAATCGAAGGTGAAATGTGACCCTCAATTTTGGAACTGACGCAATCGGTTCTTTCGCAATTTTGGATGCTTATTAACTAACGCTTCGGGGTAAGCGTTTTTGCTAAAAACTCCCGGAGGTTTTGCATTTCTGGTTCATATCTGTCTTCCGTGCAGATTTGCCTCGTTCTGTCAAATGAGGTCCGAACAAGACCACGTTTATACTCCAGGGGTATAAAGCTCTCGAAGTGTAAATATTGGCCTGTCCACGTTTCCATTCGATAAACGGATCGAGCAATTGTTCCGTCTTGTCTTCTAGTCATACTAATGTGAAGGAAATTGAGTGTGTTGTTGGATTCATATTCCATTGTGAAGTGTATATTTGGATGTCGTCTGTTGAGTTCATCCATAATTTTCGTAGCTTGTTCTAAGCTTTCTGTTATAACCAGGGTGTCGTCGACGTATCTTTTGTGCAGGATATCGCGCCCCAGAATATTAGTTCCTTGTTCTTCCAAATGTGCCATGAACAAGTCTGCCAAGAATGGGCCTAGCGGGCTGCCTACCATAGATTTGCCTGTACGCATTCCCTTGAAAAGAGAAAGACACGTCGGTTGTGCAGAGCAGTAGTAGACGCTCAAGGAGAGACACCGGTAGACACAGTCGAATATTTTCCTTCTCTACATGATCGCAGATGATTTGTATGACTTCACGAACTGGTACATTAGTGAACAAGGATTCAACGTCGAAGGAAGTCATGTGATTTCCTCCTATGTTGATCTTATTCAAAGTATCCACCAATTCAAAATTGTCCTTGACTGTATGCTTGATCATCGATCTATGAAGTGGTTCTAACACCTTAACCAGCCATTTTGTGCTGTGGTGAGTTCGTAATGGATATAGTTGGTCTGAGTGGCATACCTGGCTTGTAGAGTTTCGGTAGGCCATAAAGTCGGAGAATCTGAGCTCCTCTCGGTTTCAGGTCCCGCGCGGTGTTCGAATCGATGAAATGTCCTTCTAATAGAAACTGAACTTCAGAGGCAATTTTCCGTTCCAGCTCTTTGGGGTCATCACATGCCATTTCAAGCAAGAACTTGCTGGGGTCATTGAGGATCCATTCCATCTTTCGTTGATAATCTGCACAGTCCATCAGGACAGCCCCAGAACCTTTATCAGGGTTTAAAATGACCAAATCGGACTTGTCCTATAATTTTTTAAAAGCGGATAAATGCCCAGGAGTGAGAAGTGACTTCTGTCTCGATGGTATTATACCATATTGACGCTCCAAGTTAAACAGTTTCGCTTTTATACACGACTCTGCATCTTTTGAAGTTGCTTTCAGTATTTTCAGTTGTTCGAAAAAATATTAAAACTGTGCCTGTGATTCAATGCTGTTGATTTTCTTACGCGCAACACAAAAGCGAAGGCCACACGAAAGTGCTTGGAGTTGAAGCTGATTTAGCTCGACAGATGACAGATTCTTAAATTTCTCCGGTACTTTCGGGAATGAATTATCGACTATTTTGTGCACTAGGGATTTCTGGAGATTTGTACAAATCTTGTTTTCCGAACAGCATCAGCACAGAAGTTGGCATACTTCATTCGACGGAAGAGATTCAATTCGTCCAAAATTACCGCTTGGTCAGTGAAAGTGGATTGTTGCGCAATCAGTCTTTCTTTGGCATCATCAATGTGACACGTCATACCGCGTAAATTTCTAAACTAATTGCCAAAAGTTCACCATTGCGATTACGTAGCAGTGGTTTGAAAGAAAACTTTTGTCAGGAGACCTACCTCACAAACCTATTTCGAAATTAAAATGAATAGCTGCTCGTACCTTACTCTGTAGGAGTGAATATCACATCGCTCTGACGAAGAGCGAAAACAACCTTTTCGAAGCCTTGAAATCACCATGATGCATTCCTTGAGCTACCTGGATTTTGTTCTGAAAAATGACGCTCTTCATTCTGGGGAACTCTCAGTGCTTTTCCCTCGTTGCAGTAAACCATGCCAAGGTTTCCTCATTCACTGTGTTGAACATTTCGTTGGTTTTCCTGAGATGCTCCGGCGTTCACAAAGTCTCCGATAAGCGTTCGCATAGATATAACATTTGAACCAGGATTTTGAAACATCCAGCAATTTGGCTACGAGGCTCTGAGTTGTACCAGGATGATTAAGCATTTCTAACATTCTCATTCGTCTTGATCGAAAGGCACTTACATATTCCGACGTAAAAAGACGCAGTCTTCGACTGTTGTCATCGGTGTGCCTTCGTCAAAATGCTTATCCGAACAGTGAGCAGCGTCGTGTTCGACCAATGTTAGAAAAAACACCATTGGGCGAATGCGATATTGCATGTTGGTTCGTCAATGCACAACCCAACCATCCGCCAACGATCAAGTAGGTAGGTATCAGAAACTGCAACATATTTCGGCAGAGGGGCGAAACTGCGCGATTACGTTATTAAGCATATGGTTGATTAGGATTTTCTAAGAACTGGACTACGTATTTTACCGCTCGTCTGAATTCAGACTGTGCCAAACAACTCATGGCACAATAATCTTTGTAGAAAAGAAAAACGTTCCGTGATTTCCATGTGGGCGGAATACTGCCAGGTTGCCCAGGCTAAGGCAGTTGAATTTTCTTGAGGAATTCACAACCGGAGACCTAGGTTAGCCAAAGCCTGGCCCGTAAGGCAGCCGGGCGGTGTGTGAAAACCACAAAAGATTGGGGGCTGGTGTCCAGTTCATCGAATCATACACCCTTTAGACGGGGTAAAACGTCAAGGTGCCCAATACACCTCGATGTTCAATTGAGCCGGTGGCCACTGCCATAACCGAAAAGGTGTGTGTGTGGTTCGTACGCATCCTCTTGTTTGGTTTGGAAGTAGGGTTTTTGGCCAACTCCGCTAGGTGAACTACCAGTGGCCCACCAACCCGGTTGTAGCCCACGATGTCAGCTTTTTGTGGTTTCACTTTTGTGAAAAAATACTTCCACGAAAAGAAGGCAGTGAATAGGGCTCTCTTAGCAGAGGCTGGAAAGATATTGGGAAATGAAACATGACATGACCAATGTGCTGGCTTATTCTAATTTAGCAATTGCACGAAATGTCAACGTCTCGCGACATTTGTCAATGAGAACCCTATGATACACATTAGTTGGAACAAATCGTAGGAACCATAGGCATAGTGCCTCAAGTGAAACTGATACGATAAAATTAGATACGTTTTCGAAGCATTCACTGCGAATACATGAAATATGCTTGTTTTTGTCGTCGAAAAACATACAACTACCTTAGCTTTCATCCTTCATAGAAACCTCGTTGTAGCGATGAAAATTGAGGGATAACTATTACCGTTTCATTCGATGGCATATAAAAGTTTGTTGACGTAATTGACTCTATGTTAAAAAAAGTCCTAAGCGGAGCTCTATACTAATGATGTGCCTGCAGTAGTGAGACTGCGAATCTGTCCAAATGCGGTTTTACAGGATCACCTGATATAATCGTATTTTATGTGATGAATTGCGGAACGATCAGCAACTGACCTTAGTGGGATCCAAACCGAATGCGACCTACCCTGATTCATAGCGTTTGTCTACCAGTAAAGCGGTAAAGCCGTTTCGCCCAATCTTATCAGCCTTTTGGTTCAAAAGAAAACTTGAACTAGTTGCCGATTTGTTTTTCAAAGATTCCATCGAGTTCCTGAATGCCAAAATACTTTACCTTTCCCAGATGTTAGCGTGTCATTTCATCACTTGGATTATTCTACGACCACGAGTTGTAATCATTCGAATAGGCCATTACCTTACAGTGAAACCGCATTCAATCGGGATAACCGAAATCAAACACACCCAAAATGCCTTATTCAACCCTATTATTTTCAGAAGGGACACCACAAGCTTCCAGAACTGAGCCAAAACTCCTTGTTAATCTGTGGAAGGGTTTAATCCGTTTGTAGAATACTGAAAAAAGAAAATATTTCGTTCCGGCTCACGAATTGCACGAATCAAGCGGTTTCCTACTGTTGTGATCTGACTATCGCGTTAGCTTCAGATTATCTATTGCAAACGCATTCTCCTTCAACGAGATAACGTGCACTGTGAGCTACCAAAAATCATCCAACGTGAAAAGCACCTGGTAGTGAAAAAGCAATAACACTGGTTTGACAATTCAGCTGTTGTCACATGAAAGAAATAGAGAGTAAGTAACGGGGGAAGAGGAATTGATAACTCGAAGCAAGATAAAAAGTTCCTCAATTAAAAGCAACAGCATACATAATTCACTCGTGAAGTGCACAACATCAACAATGAGGATTCTGAAGAAGACTGCAAAAAAAATTTAATAGTGCAACAAAAAACCAGAATATGCAGATGGACTCGGAAAATCAGCGTAGATGGGGCCGGGCAAGAGAAATTAACAGAGGGCGGGTATTCATGCGTCCCGAATGAGGAAATAGGGCTGAGCAGACTGAGAAAATAACTACCTATCCAAAGTGAGGTACAAATAACAAAACACCAGATAATAAGTAGCCGGGAAATTATGCCGTCATTTTCCAGACTGGTCTCACGACCGAGAGGAATGTGATGATGGTCATATCTCTCTTTTGTTCCGAACAAATGGGAAACGGAATAACAGAACAGAAGGTGGAAAATGTGCGTAACACGTTATCAACACGATATGATGTTCAGTGTGTTCGTTTTCGGAGGGCATAGTATGGACATATTCGTGACTGCGAGATAAACAGAACATCACAGACCAGGCAATGGTACCTGTTTTGTCCGTGTGTGAACGTGAGTAGTTCAGTAACTGTACGAATGTCACTGATGCGCATCTATTTAGGCGTTTGTGATACAAAAAAGATATATAAGCAGCCTTGGTGGGTATCCACACTGGTGAGGAAACAATGATAGATGAGTTCAGAGTGAAGGAGGGGGGATGGTAAATAAATCACATGCGCAATGCTTCTTCTGGAGACATTCCTTCTTCTTCTAGTTTAGTTAGGAACGTGGAAACCCGATATTCCGGATCGGTCTGTAAAAAAAACAGATGCAATGAAAAGAGTAAAGAGATAGAAAAAATAATAGAAAATACGTAGATATCAGTGACATGATATGGGAGGACTGTGCCCGCAGGCGTAAAGCCTACGATTTCGATTAATTTTTATGGCATTCACTTCTTCCTCGATTATCATTTTGATTCTGAATTGCAGGCAGCTTATCGGTCATGCTGGTTCTGATGCACAAAAAGTCCTTCCACTATCGATTCAACGACGGTCTTCTAAAAGTCGGAGAACTACACAATAAGTTTGTACTTCTGATCAGCGAATGCTTATATGTCTTATATCTTCGACTATTAAATAGCATATGTTATGCGAAATAGTTTACACCGGTGCAGTTGCTTGTCTGCAGCTGATTCGTGGGAACCTCAGCTGTTTCGTACGAAGTGCTTTGTCTGTTACAAACTTACGTATAGAAAATCAGACACCGGCATGGACTGACTGAACTTGCTTGATTGCTTCGAGTTACAACTAAATGTTTGTCCTTGCATTCTATGATTTGTGAATGGCATGCATTATTAAAACTACAAAATATTATTCCATAAATAAATGAGGCATTTCATCATTTACAGAACAAAGGAAGGGAAAACTGACGAGCTCGTTCGTCTACCTGCAAAAGCCTCAGCACGGTTAGGAGTGGGTGTCCGGTGTCCCAAGGTGGTCAGTCATCCGAACTCCTCTAACATGTCCTAAAACTACCAGAACTATCAAAGAGCCCTGGTTGAGGAGATGCAACAGACAGTTTTCCAGTGTCAGAGGTGTTATCACTAAAGGAAAACAGTAAAGGGCCAATGCATCACGCTTGTCAAAGGCAGTCAGTTTGGGGAAATTGGATAAATCCCTAAATTCAAACCACTCAGCTTTGACGTGAAGTGATCATAGTGATACCAACCCTCGGTGCGAACCCTAATTGGACTTCTATATGCATTACTAGAGTCGATCACCACGAGGCTAACCGACAAGTGCGCGAGCAAGGGTAAATTGAGCACACTGGAAAGTTGGCGGCATCCGAAAGGCGTATAAGTCGGTCTGTCAGTTACCAGATCCTAGAGGATTGCAGAATCGCTAAACCACTCCGCTGTGGGTTAGGTCCTTTATTCATATATATACATTTTCACACACGTCTGAATTCAGACTGTGCCAAACAACTCATGGCACAATAATCTTTGTAGAAAAGAAAAACGTTCCGTGATTTCCATGTGGGCGGAATACTGCCAGGTTGCCTAGGCTAAGGCAGTTGAATTTTCTTGAGGAATTCACAACCGGAGACCTAGGTTAGCCAAAGCCTGGCCCGTAAGGCAGCCGGGCGGTGTGTGAAAACCACAAAAGATTGGGGGCTGGTGTCCAGTTCATCGAATCATACACCCTTTAGACGGGGTAAAACGTCAAGGTGCCCAATACACCCCGATGTTCAATTGAGCCGGTGGCCACTGCCATAACCGAAAAGGTGTGTGTGTGGTTCGTACGCATCCTCTTGTTTGGTTTGGAAGTAGGGTTTTTGGCCAACTCCGCTAGGTGAACTACCAGTGGCCCACCAACCCGGTTGTAGCCCACGATGTCAGCTTTTTGTGGTTTCACTTTTGTGAAAAAATACTTCCACGAAAAGAAGGCAGTGAATAGGGTTCTCTAGGCAGAGGCCATTCAAAGGCATTTTATAGGAAATTTCTAATTAAGTGCTGTATTTCGGCGTGAATATCCAGGTAGTATCACACCTCAGTCTATCTGGTTCTGCATCTATGGGATTGGTTATATACGTAAATAAATGTATATGTATTCGACTATGGGGAAAAGCCGCTGAAAATTTCAACGGAGAGCAACAATAGGATGGACAAAAGTAAGCTGCCAGATAACCATTCAAGTGGTGTGAATTTCCTCTGGA